TGTCATGTTTCCTAGCTCTTCTCCTTTCCCTCTCTTGATTAGTTAGTCCTTGAGATCCTGCTTTCCTTTTACTTGTATTATACCTTTCTATTTGTGTTTCTTCTTTTGAGTTCTTATACTAGGGAAACTATACGATATTTACACATGTGTGTCTGGTTTATTTCACTTACGAGTATATCTTCAAGTGGCATCCACTTCAATATAAAGCCTTTGAGTTTGTCATTCTTAATAGCTGAATAATACTCCATTGTGTAAAAATACCACATCTTTCTCGACCATTCCTCAGGTGATGGGCATCTTGGTTGTTTCCAAGATTTGGTTATCACAAATTGTGCTGCTATAAACATTGGCACACATATATCCCTATGATATGATGTTTTCACTTTTAACTATTTAATAATATATCATTCCCCTTTTTGCCTTTTGGAGGCAGAGTCTTGCTATGTAACTCAGGCTGGCCTTGTACTCACTCCCTAGCCCAGCTGGCCTTGCACTTGCAGCAGTCCTCCTGCCTTAGCCTCCCGAGTGCTGGGATTACAGGTGTGTGCCACTGTGCCTGGCTTAAATAATTAATTTTGTTAGTACTTGGAATGAAGCTGGGGGACTGCTGAGCCTTAGCCCTTTTTATTTTGTTTTGATACAGGGCTTCTAGTTACCTGCACCACCGTGCTTGGCTGCTAGTAGGTCTTTCATGTTTCTTTCTTTCTTTTTTTTTTTTTTTTAAGAGCAGAATATATTTATTGGGGGAAAGAAAGCTTGTGTCAAGAGAGGGGGACCCAAGCAGGTTGCCCCAGGTCTCACTGCATCTCTCGCCGCACGTTTTGTTTGCCTCCCACCTACAGAAGTGAGCAGCATCTTGCTGGTGTCTGCCCGGGCTGTTTATGTTTCGTCTACAGCCCCAAGTATGTCTTCTTATAGGACCTTTGTTCTGTCAGGATCCACATCAGGGCTGCTGCCCTGTCTGGGTTGTCTGTGAGTCTTGCTGGGAAGGCCCTCTGGTCCCCTCTGTTCTTAAGCTACCTGTCTCCCAGGTACGACCGGCTGCTTCGAATCCGAGCCCTGAGGTGGGAGTATGGCAGCGTCCTGCCGAGTGCTTTACGATTCCACATGTGTGCTGAGGAGGTGAGTGAAACACTTTTGTTCGGGTTCATGAAAGTGCTGCGCCTCTGGCATCGGTCTGCAGCCGCACTTACTGCCACTTCTCTTTCTGTGTTTGACTTCTATTCCTGAGCAATGTTTGGCTGGAATTGATTTCATCCCCCCTGTGGTGAAATGTGATAGGGAGTAATTCTCAATGCTATGCGGAAAACCTTTGTCACCTAACAGATAGAGTGCCATTGTGTTATTTATGAGTAATCTACCAGTGGGATTAAAAAACTGGCTTTGCCGGCTGTGGTAGCATGTGCCTGTAACCCCAGCATTTGGGAAGCTGAGGCCAGCCTAGACTACATAGTGAGACTCTGTGTTAAAAAAAAAAAAAAAAAA